GGAAGTCAGATTCCAAAGCACTTTTTTTCTTCTTAAAATCTACTTTTTGCAACTGTTTATGTAGTTTATTGTTTTATGACAGGTGGTGTGAGGCCGCCCTCTAAGTGAACCTTTCATTTTCATGGAAGCTCTGGCTTAATAACGAGAATACAAGCAGTCATCTCAACACCGTGTTTTCACCAAATGATAATTTTCATACTTTTTCTTTTTTCATTTGTTTGCTGCATGCCTTATTCTTCATATCATCTGACCTATAGGCTTGCTCTGTCAGAGAGTGAAATCTGGGGCTTTACTGGACCAGTGCTGAGAGTCACCATAACCTGGAAACAAGAAGTGCAAGAATGAACAGCACTGGTCAAATAACAGATTTGATGGATTTTCCCTACAAATCTGCAGATATAGTTGCTGAACTGGAAACATAAGATATGTCATTTGGAAAGCTTGGCCTCCTTTTCAGTTGATCCAGTAGTGTTTTATTGGGAAGATAAAAATCAAATTACTGGTTCCCTTATAATTCTCTGGTGAGAAGCATCTTATGACGGCAGGCCTCCTCGCCCTAAAGCGTGCAATAGCCTGCACTGGCTGAACAGGTTAGACAGAGGAAGCCTGATGACATCAGTCTCTCCAGATGGATCATAGTTACATAGTTAGTCAGGTTGAAAAAAGACAAAAGTCCATCGAGTTCAACCTATAGAGATACGGAGAGAAAAAAAATGCCTTAGTGACTGCTGATGAGGACGTACAAAGGATCTGATTTGATTATATTCATCTTCATAATGTAATGTTTTGTCCTTCACAATCCACTCCATTTGTTATTTTATTGAGAGTCCAATTATGGGATTTTCTTTCTCATCCAGTGAGGGACACATGAATTATTAGACTGTCAGGGTGTCCAAAAACAGTCTATTAGAGGGGTGGGCAGCAGAGCAAGAAAGGTTAACAGAAAACTGGGGTCTGCTCAGATTTGCCTGAAGGAGTTAATCCCAAAGCTGGCATCAGATGAGGCCTTAAGTAAGAACTCCAGGCAGAATTATTCCCAAAATGTCCCTTGGTGTTCTCATGTCCAATATACTGTATAGGTACACAGAAAGATGAAAGCACAAAGACCAGTGATAGACTTGCAAGTTACTTGATGCCAAAAAAGCATAAGAAGTGCCCATAAAATCTAGTAGATGGACAGGAAAGGATGGAAACTGATCTTTTCGAACCATAAGTTTGGATGAGGGTCAGCCCGAGTCACGTAGAGCGCCACCAAGATGGTAGAAGGGAGGAAAGGCACTGAGCTCGGTGTACTGATCACACAGAGCATCCAATTCTTCCACTCTTGGATCCCTGTACCTAGAGACAAAGCAGTCCAGTTAGTTGCTAAACCTGGAGGCCATAAGATCCACATCCAGCATTCTCCACCTCCGGCACAGGTTCTTGAATACCCCCAGCATAGGGACCACTCCCCTAGGTCCAGACACTGTAGTAGGAGGAAGTCTGCCTTGCCAAGACTTTCATGCAAAAGAGGAGAGTTGGACAACACCTAGGCTGGAAAGCCCAAATTTGAGATCAGAGATTCTGAAGTTTCTTCGGTGGCTGAGCTATGTCCAGGACCAGTCCCAGATACTCCAGACAATGAATCGATTCCATCAACAGTTTCTGAAGGACCCGGATCCTTCCAAATTCTCTGCAGCTCTAATATCTGAACTATCAAAACCACAATGTTCAATAGAGCGTGGACCTAGTACCTGTCACAAGAGTGCAGCAGGGCTAAAAACTTCATGAACATTCAAGGTGGCAACCAGATGTCTACACGAGCGTAGGAAATACAGACGTTTAGAGATCCAAGCTCCATCCCCTGGGCATAGAGTCACCCAGATCTAAACATCACTAATCCCCAAACACAGCAAACACATCATGGTCATTGTCTGAGATGTATTCATCACATGCAGGAACATCAGTTAGTGCTGATGTGCTTTGCTCTCCCAAAGCTGTCTGAACCTTAAGTTCTGAGTCCAACTTTACTGGGAGTTCAGGCCCTCCACACTGACACCTAAACCCCCTGCCACCAGAGAAGGCAGGGCAGATGCAGGAAGATAGGGGACTCAGTAATAGTGTGTACAAACTCTTTTAGTTAGAGCTGTATCATCCAGTGCAGCTAGGAGAAAGGAGGGGGCAGGAACAATGGAAACAATTCCCAAGTATCGCCCATAGCTGAAAATAAAGGAGGGCTTCCCCCTAGTGGCCAATATACAAAGTACAAACAGTATAAAGCATGCCTGGAATAAAAGGTGAATTTTACCTCCCCAATCAAAATGGCCCATCAGCTACATTTGTTTCTATAGCAAACATCACATATATAACCTCAGTACCAAACTGAGGAAATCACAACCCAGCTAGGTACTCATAACAGTGAATTCAGAGAGAGGGACAGAACTGCCTCAGCTCTTGCCTAACAGCTCCATAGGAAATCCCCAGACATACTGGCCTGACCTGAATAGCGGGATTCTGTGTGAACTATAGCAGTGCTTCTTAAAGTGTGGGTCGCGACCCCATATGGGGTCCCGCAAGTGAAATGGCCAAAAAGAGGTCACGAGTGGAGAAAGTTTAAGAAGGCCTGAACTATAGCACAGACAGGTAGCCACTGCCGACTACAGGAGAGAGAGAACACCAGTATGGCTAATGAACTGGGAATCAGCACTGCTTGGCTAACTGGAGAACGGGTAGATGACTGGGGAAACTTCCAGAAATTCCGGGCAGTTGCAGACAGAACACCAGTATAAACCGGGAAAACCTGTGCCAAGTGGCCAAATGGAGAGACTTGTGCAATGTAACATATCTGGCATGAATCTAATAGCGTTCCTTGGCTGATTGGAGAGACTTCTATCATTTAACATATCTGACATTAATCTACCAGCAGCTGTTGAGAGGAGAAAAAGCATCCAGAAACATTTTCTATACAGAGAGCAGCAGTGCTGAAAAAAACACATCTACTCTGCTGAGGACACTAGCAAAATACTGAGACATGGTGATTGTGAGCAGGGTTAACCTGGGCTGGCCAGCGGCTTCTTGGATGCCAGTGTCCATTTCTCTAGTAGATGGCAGTATAACCAGACAGTCTTAGAATTCCTGTGTCCCTCAATGGACAAGAAAGAAAAGCCATTTGCACTGATCACTCAGTGTAACTTATCCTGGTGTGTCAGCTTTGTGATATCAGCCTAATGCGAACTTATAAAAGGATTATGTAAAATGTCCAGCCTAAGTTTAAGTGTCCAGCCTAATGCCACAACATGCCTGGCGTTACCTTAGTTGCAAAAAAATCCTTTTTGCATTCTATGGTGTCTGCTTTTAGGCAGGATGTTTTCAAGTGGACGTTCCATGAATACAGACGATTCACTTTATTTACAGTGCTGAGCACTCGAAATCCCACAAGAAAGCGCTCCTGCAATGGGCTGAAGGACATTCTTGTGGGATTTCATTCACCTAATTTTCCAAGGAGACAAAATTACATCACCTATGCCTCTTGAAAGAGTAGGAAGCTGAGTCCAGGTATTTTAAGCCATTTATATTGAGGGAGTGGGGGACTGCGAGTAAAGCCGACCATTCATTTTCATGGACTGTGCAGTAACTCAGCATGTAACAGCTCCTGCAGTTTGTTTCCATACAGGGGTTTTCCTGTAATAATGACCAGTCACTGGGGATCTCTCTCCTTGTGCAAGGTGACTGGTCTTGTATCTGCCTCTCTGCAGCTTTCTTCAGGCAACTTGTAGTGGGAGGACCTGCTGGGTCCATTCCACAACTGTGATCTGTGCACAGGCTATGGACAGCAGAGTGATGATGTCACTTTAAAATAGTTGACAGGATCTCTACATCTTCTTTACACAGGCTGTGGTAAGTTATTAAACTGATCTCCCCCCCCCCCAAAAAAAAAGTGTGACCAGGGACAGCCAATCATTTGCCTAAGACAGTGTGCTGTGTATGATAAAAAAAAAACCCCCAAGCAGGGCACTGTCTGTAGACTTGCACTCCACTAAGATGAGCAATATACAAAGTCCCGGCACTGCCCTACAGAACAGAAGAACAGGATGTGTTTGGAAACATGGCTACCCCCCCCCATGTACATATCACAGAATACAAACAGTAACACATATTAATAGGATCATTTACAACAGATAGATTTGCCCATTGGGTTGTAGCAGTGACATGGGAATTCTGAGTGGATCTGATGGTCATCGGATGTGTGGGCTCCATAATAACGGACTCTGTGGCGGCAGCACCACCATGCATACATTTCACAACAACATTTTAGAATGAAGCCCATTTCACTAAAGTGAACCTGACGACTGCCACTGCTCCTAACAATGCTACTTTCCTGGCTGTCTGGCTTTCTCAGTCTAGAACAAGCATGCAGATTAAAAAGCAAAATCAACAGTATGACAGTCAGGCAACTTACATTTCCAGAAGCAGGGCAGCAATGGCATCCACCATAGGCTTTTGGTGCAGATTTTCTGCATACATTTTCGGCTGCTGGTAGCTTTACGGGGCACATACTTGATCTTTAAGTTTAATAAAGAAGATTCCCCCAATCATCTTGTTCCTTTCATTTTACCCGTGCAATATGGGAGAATGAAAGGAAGAATCTGACTGGTTTCTATGAAAAATGCAGCCAGTTCCCCCCGGACACCTTACTAGTCACATGACTAAACAGGTCACATCACATGATCTCACATGAACACAGCACTTCACATGAATACAATGTTGTTAGGGAGGAGGAAAAACTCAACTCTTTATAATGAATAAAAACAACTTTTATTGCTGGGGAAAATGTCCTGCCCCAATATAAAAAATATGTCCATTGCATTATTTTATACCAAACTGGAGACATTTTACTTTGCTTCAAAAACAACAACAAAAAAAGTCAATCAGCCTTCTTTACATCCCCTAGCTGTGCTGATGAAGATGCAAGTACAGGCTGTGACCTGCGTTCCTCTGCGTTGTATGGTCACTCTAGTCATTCTTCTCCTCCTCTCCTTGGTAATGCCTGTATTCGGGCCTCAGCTCCCATGTGTTCTTGTGAGTCCCTTTTACATTGTAAACACCGATTTCTCGCAGTATTTCTTTCAGGTACATCTGGATAAGGGGTAAAGACAAGAAACAAGATGTTTACATTTGCAGTCACTACATAAAAACATATATTTGTCTGCCCTATGCAATTGATTATCTAGAGATGTACCCCAGAAAAGTGCCAGATTGGCTGCTTTTTGGAGAGTTTTCTTATCACACTGAAATCCCATAATCTCTGCATAGATGACCCACTCTGACAAACAGGGTATGCACCCCAATCTAAGAAGTAGTCATGTCACGGAGCTCTGACAGACAAACAGGGCATGCACCCCAATATAGGAATTAACCATCACGTCACGGAGCTCTGGTGCACAAACAGGAAGAGAATTATCAGCAGTAAGGACACATTATATAACAACATTTATACTTATTATCTATAGTAAAACTTTTTTTTCCCAAGTAAAGCTTGAGGTGTTACGGTTTGTGCTCACTGAAGTGTCGGTTATGAGAGGAGCCCGGTAGAGGGAACATATCGATGAAACCAATAAAAGTTTGCTTGTTTGTGATCTAGGGTGATTTGTAGGGAGGACGGCATCCTTGGTTTTTATTAACTTTCCCAAAGGGGCAAAGTGCCGGCATGACAATGAATGTGCAAATCACATGAGAAATCCAGAGACCAGTAAAAAGGATTCACTTCCATATACTACAAATAACCATTCGTCAATAAAATATATAAAGTATTTTCTAAATCTTGAACACTAGGGCACCCATACATCTTGTACTATGTATCACATCTGGTTGTACACAGGATCTCACCTACAGCAATACCTGCTATTTAATAGATTATAATTCACCAAACATCAAGTTCCTTTAAAAATGAAAAAAGGGGGAGAGCGTCTATAAAGTTAATATCCTTTTCTGGTGGTTCTATAAAATAGTCTCAGTTTGCTTTATAGCTTTGTACACAGCAGATGGCAGCAAATAACCAGAGTTAAGAAAAACGTCTCCGATGTTGGTAGATCTACTTGAGTAAAGCAATGAAATATTTTAGGAAGCCTTTAAACCTACTCTGTTTGCTAGATCTATAACGAAGTGCCCTCAGCATAATCCCTGCCACTCATTTCTCTACCTATGGAAAATATGGGCTATTCTGTGGTATCATCAACTGAGAGTGTCCACGTAAGACAACCTAGCTGTGTGTCACAGAAGCATCTTCCCCTTCAGATTTTATTTCCAAGTGGCAGGTCTGTAATACATATTTCTATAAATATGGCAATAGGAGTTAAAACAAGACTAGACTTCTGCTTTGAAAGAACCCAGTAAAATATTTTTATACTTATAAAGAATCTTATGAAGTCTTATAAAGAGTCTTATAAAGAAATCACCTTCAGATGAACATTACAATATCTTGCAGGGCTGGACAAATCCCAGGGGCTAGGTAGCCAACGCTCCTTAAAAATGACAGCTGGCAACTAACTTCTGAGTTTTTCTCTAGTTCTTGTCAATAGCTCCTAAAAAGAAATCCTGCTAGCCCCTGGATTAGACAGACTGGCTCACGAATATTCATTTGTCCACCCCTGACAACTTGCATACTCACTAAAATTTGCTTCCAGTTACTGCTGATTCTCAGAACTGTTTCAGCGACAGTAGACCAGCCATTGCCATAAAGGTACGAACAGGCAGCTGCAGTATGGAGACACTAGGTATGTGCTTTCAATCACACATTCATTATTTTCCCTCATGATAGGTGAATGTGTAAACTATTTTCTGGCACTATGCCTTCATTGTACTGTAGCCACCTGTTTGGCGTCTTTATGGTACGGACATATTTACTTTAGAGGCTTTGTCACTGGGGACGGGACAAAGTGATCCAGATATGGAGTGTAGGAACCTAGAAGTGCACAAACCTGCCTGTCACAGTCAAATGGCTGCCAGTTCTGACAGGCAAACCGCCAGATGATTATTATACAGGATTGATATAGCGCAAACAGTTTGCGCAGCGCTTTACAATATAAGGAAGACATTACAATCACAATACAAATCAAGACAAGATGGTAAGGAGGTCCCTGCGTGTTATTTCAGGGCATGCTGCTAAACACATACTCCTATTGGCCCACTAGCCAAAAGAATTGTGCAGAAGGTTAAAGGTGCTGACGAATAATCAAAACTGATTACCCAAATTCAGATACCTTGGGGGTGATTCTTTATACTGCTTCCATAGCAAACAGCTACAGTATGTGAACAAGATTTGCCGTCCGATATGGCCACTAGCTGGAGCCAAGGAGCATAGAAATTTCCCATGTTCTTTCCGTGTGTCTCAGCAATGTCAATCGTCTTCCTGTGTGTGTTCGTCTCACTCTGTTACTGGGCCTGCTACTGTAAAGAGATTAACATTTAGCAAGGAAGCCTAGGATGCAAACTAATGCAAATGCTTAAACGTTACTTGGATTCACCATGAACACAAATTACTTTTACATAAAACCTTCAAAAACACCTTCTTAATTTCAGCACCTCCAATTGAGCGTGTTAAAGGAATGCGTCACCAAGAACACTTTATATAATCATAAAACTTTTCTGCTCGCAAAGAACCCTTTCTCAATCTGGAATACCGGCATTGCTACTCAACTTTCAGAAAGGGCTCTTTGCGACCCCAAACACTATGGGGGGAATTGATCAAAACTGGAGCAGTTGCCCATGGCAACCAATCAGCTCCTCTCTTTCATTTTCAAATCTTAAATGAACTGAAGAGAGAAGCTGATTGGTTGCCAAGCACCAGTGCTCCAGATTTTGTCTGCTCCAGTTTTTATAAGAGGTGCACCGAAATGGAAATTCCAAAACCGAAACCGAAATAAAAAAAAATTGTCAGGCCGAAACCATGCTTTAATTTTAGGGGCTTCGGGGAAATATTGGGAACACAGAAAAAGAAATTGAGAACACAGAGTCCTCAATCTCTTTTTCTGTGTCCCCTGTTATCAATGAACAGGAATCCTCTATGAGGACAGAGTATGTTTACTATAACTACAACTATGAATGAACAGGAGGAGATGTAGATCACTTCCCATTCATTCATAATTGAGGATATAGTAAACATACCATGTCCTCAATTGTGTACAAACACTCAGCGATCACTGATTGCTGAGTGTCTGCTCTTGCTCTCCTCTCTGATACGCTGTCACAGGAGGCTGGGCGGTGCAGGGAGGAGAGCTCAAGAGCTCAGCCTCCTGTGACAGCGCAGGCTGTCTCCGCCCACACACCGCTCTGCCGGACTGTGATAGGAGGCTGAGCGGTGTGGGAGGAGACACACTGGCCACTCGCATCGCTCTCCTCCCTCAGCGCTCAGCCGGCTGTCACACTTTCTCTCCTCCCCGCTGGGACAGGTGCCATTTTCGGCCGATAGGTTTCGGCGGCCGATATATCGGTGCATCCCTACTTTTGATAAATTCCCCCCAATGATTATATGGAGCATTCCTGGTGCCATTGCTCAGTCTATAGATATGCACTATGGAGGTACTGAAATTAAGACGGTAATCTGGAGTTATTTTGAAGTTCACGTGCTGTTCCTGGATTGACATTTATTCTTGCACCCTATTGGGGAGGATGGCTGCAAAGGCCATTTGTTGATAACGGTGAGGTGTGCTAACAAGGAACATGCAGACAGGACGAGATGATAGAAGCAACAGATTGATGGTTCTCTCTATCTGCTTCACTGTGCATTCACAGGCTGGCCCATGGAGGTAACCCAGCTGTGCTGACTAACTGCAATAGAGAAAAGTCAGGTCACCAGGCTGGCTGCTTTTTGGCAGGGCTGTATACATCTCAGGACAGGATGGACAAAAATAGAAATCATTTGGCAGGTAAAACAGCCCCAAGATATGCATGTTATTCATATATTCAACCTTTTGCCTGGTGTTCAGCTTTAATGGCATGCAACTGTGCTGATCGTGTACAATTGTTCTCTAGTTTGTTCAGGTGATCAATCACACTTTCAGGGCAAAATGTTTTTTAAGCCAAGGTGAGCATGCCAAATCTTAAGAGGAACAAGGCAGTTTGGCAGAATGTAAATGTGGCATTTTAACAAGGAATAGGAACAAATCCTGTGATCAATCCTTCTTTTAAAAGGAAAGGGTGAAGTATTCACCAGATCATTGTCTGTGGTGTAAATTACACTTCTTCATGCATAGGATAAAAAGCTGCTACTTCTACCTGTGATGCAGACAATTTGTTTTTAACTCTGGTCCTGGCCCCCTCAAAAAATAATTTTCTTTTCTTTGTCCCCGTCACAAAAAGTGAGGGGAAACTCCGCCAACTTCAAATGCAAACTAACTTTATTTGGGATTTTTCAATGCACACTAAGGCTGGGTTCACACCATTTTCCGGAAAAGATCTGGACCATAGTGCATTGCATTTTTGCTGCGATTTTACCGCAATTTGAATTTTGTTTTATTTTTATTAGCTTAAAATGGTCTTACAGGTCCGTTCCAGTGCATTCCAGACCAGACAAAATAGGACAAGCAGTATTTTTCTGGTCTGGAACGGACTGTGCTGGTGGGAACAGAGGCCAGAAATAGCATAGGGATACATTGGGATGCATTTTGGGTCCGGAAAGAGTCTGGTCTGGAGGTTATCTGGATGTGGTGTGAATGGGCCCTAAAACAGGTTATGGCTAGTGTCCATGAAGTGAGTAGTTCGTTGTTACAATGCAAGAGAATGTTTACATTTTTTTTTTTTACTTTCCCAACATGGCATTCCACTTCACTTATGGGATGCGGAGAACAGCAGTGAGATGAGATGCAAAAAAACTTAACACATCTGCAGTTTTACACAACACACTATAATCCCCCTCAAAGCAGCATTGTGGTATGAACATATCACATAGAAAACAATTGTTTCCTATGTACCCTAGCGTTAAGTCTGCTTATGTGGTGTGAACATGCCCTAAGATTTTATTGAGGCAAAAGCAGAAAACATTCCAAAAAAACTTAAGCACATCAGTACCAAATATGAACAACATTCAATTGAAATGTTCCATAATAAAAACTCTTTGCTTGAAAAGTGGGTTACTTGTT